AGGATACTCCATGTTGGATTTCATCAGTTTGCTGCATCTGTCATTGCTTTTTTTTTTTTTTTGGACAGAAGAAAACACGATTATACGGCATGTTAAAAATATTTTGAGTTCGTAACAGTACAGTATTTAAGATGTCAACCTGGACCCCAAATGGTAGCAAGTTCAATTTTAATGAATGAATGAATGACTTATTTTTAATGAGATGATGTTCACCAAGTTTCTCCACTTGTCCCCCCCCAAAAATGAATTGTACAATCTATTGATCTGTTAGTAATCCATCCATTTACTAGAGAGTCACGTGTGTGTGTGTGTGTGTGTGTGTGTGTGTGTGTGTATGTATGTATGTGTGTGTGTGTGTGTGTGTGTGTGTGTGTGTGTGTGTGTGTGTATCTATATATATATATATATAGATATATATATATATATAGATAGATAGATAGATAGATAGATAGATAGATAGATAGATAGATGGATATTGAAAAGCAGTTCCATTTCTTGAGGCCAAGTAGAGTACTCCAACTGTTGCTTCGAGATGTTCATCATCTATCAAATTCACACAATCCATAAATCATCAAGTGACAGTGCAAAAAGGGTAATATAATTTTATTGACAGTCATATATAATAACACAATGATGTAGTGTAATACACCCTACATCGGAAGTGTATGAAACAAGACAAGAGGTAGTCTTATCAACATTGAATTCCTCTGGCATTGACTCACTCACCGTGTTGCCTGTTACGAGCGCGCCATAACACGGCTTGTCTTACATGAAACGCAGAGGAATGTTCGCGGTGTTGATTACTGCTGAGGTACCCAACGGCATCAACTTCAAGTCTTTGTTGTGAGGAATTCCAGGCACGTGACAAGAGCAATTCTCCGACAGCATTGACTCAAAAGCTCAACTTGAGTTTTGTGGTTGGATGAGAATTACGCTACTTCAAATGCTAAATTTCACCAGCAGAATCGGATCAAAGATGTATTTTAAAAGATAGATAGATAGATATGCAGACGGTGGTCAGAAGGACTCTGACCGTGTCATGTACTAATACACTCTATCTCCACTAGTAGGATAATTCAGCCCACTAATCGAAAGAGTGTCCTCATAGTAATATTTTCTCTACTACCGGTGTTGCTTTTGGGCTACTGTTATGCAACTAAACCTCACTATTGAACTACTGTCCTGCACCGGTAGCACTAAAATGCCCACTAGTAATTTTGCCTCACTAGTAACGTGCAGGGTCCTACCCGTAAAGTAACGCTGAAGTTGTCTTGGTTTTCTGCAGAATTAATGAGGGGAAAAAGAAGGTTACTAGTAAAAGACAGTTCATCTACTAGTGCTTAGTTATTCTTCTGGTGCGCTGAATAAAGGTGAAAACAGCTTCATGGAAAGCAGATTCAGCATTTCGATTTGCTTGGTACTAGTATGCTGAGATGTCTTACTAGTGAGGACATAAGATGCTTCAGCATTTATTCAAAATCTTTGATAAGATGGGTATCAGTGTGTGACACATGCCTGCTATTTGGACCTAGTAGTGTTCCTAGTGCAGCATAGTAGTTTACTAGTAAAGCTTCGCGGGGAAAAATACATGTTACTCGAAACAAATAGTCATTCTACAAGTCTGCTAGTGTGCCAAATTACCTTACTAGTGTGAACAAAGTGCATACTAGGACATGTACCCTACGCATTAAATTCTCAAACGAAGCCTTAACTAGCTGATAGTTGCAAACCGAAAGTACACGACTAGTATCTGGCCTGTTCGCTATTCTGAACGGCTCGATTTGAGTTGGATATTTAGACGTTGTACTGCTGCCCTCTGTTGGCAAACGGGTGTACTGCTGTCGAAGTTATGGCCTGATAATTTGCAGAAATGAAACTCTTCCCATCCCAAAATGGTGTCTTTATGTGTATTGTATAGGGGGCAAGTGAGTAAGGTATGCATTCTAACGTGTGTTCCACAATGTAGTGAGAAGGGAGGTAATGACTGCCGGCGTGTGTAACGGGAGAAGAGCCGTCATCTGTGCTAAATTACCGGCAGGGGAATCTCGAAATCTAAACCCCCGCCCCAAACCTCAACCAATCACCATCGCAGCAGTATTTCTCTAAAGCTGGGAACGCTTGTCTGGGGACTATTGAGTGTGTTTGTAACACACCCAACACACATAAACACAAACCCACTAAAATCATGGCTGCCTCAAGGGCAAAGCACAGGCTGGAATATATTATTTTATTTGATCTGCCTGCACTTTGATTGTGATTTAGCAGGCGTTTATGGCAGGACCATATTTGGGGCTGGCTGTGTGCAGTGACACAGATGCAGTTTGGCCACTTGTGTGTTAGTCTCAAGCATGAACATAAAAATTGCAGATGGTCCTCAGTCGCCCTTGAAGTTTTACAAAAAGCTGGTTCCAATTGGTAAATCCATTCATTCTCGTGTTTAGGAATGTTTTTAGTGGCGTTGCTAGCTTGAGAAGATTTTGGGAAGCTCGGCAAGACCTCTATACAAGGTTTAATGCAGTACTGTATAGCGGTGCCTTGAGATATGAGTCAATCAACTTAAGTTTTTCAAGATACAAGTTGTCAGTTAAACGATTTAAAAATTTTTTATGGAATCAGATTTGTGCTCCAAAAATAGAAAAAGCAAAACTTATTAAAATCAATAAAACCTCTTAAAGTGCGAACAAAAAATAAGAATTTGATATGGAATCAGATTTGTGAATCACACAAAACTTTGTAGAATCAGCTCACAACAAGCAGCAGTTTGACAGCCACAATTAGTGAACAATTCTTACAAAAACAGGCCTCAAGGTACAAATGCCACTCCCAGTTGAAGTTTACCATCACATTGAACATGAATCAAATAGAATTATGTTTAAGAACAACACAAAACGCCATAGACAGGCTAAGCAACAAAAATTTGTACACTAACGGCAGAGCAATACATGCACATGGACAATATAACAATATTTTCAGGTATCTGCCTTTGCTAAAAACAGCTAAATACAGTACAGTATTACTACATCTTAGTGAGGAGTTGTGACTGTCTGTATGTCTGTATTATACTGCCCTCATGTGGCCAAGGTGCAACACCAGAAGTAGAACACAATTACAGTGAATTAATCATGATGGACAAACTGCTTTATTCTTGATCTTCTATTTTATTGTGCTATCACTAAATATTTATGTGTAGTAGAATATTCAAGAGCTCTATTTTCCTTATTAAAAATGCATGTAAAAATTTGTTGTGTTTTTTTTTTTTTTTTGCAGAGATAGGCAGAACTTAATGGCATTCAATTATTTCCATTCAGTGAGATGACTTATGAGTGCTTTGGGTGATGCGCGTGGCCATGAAAAGATTGAAACACATATCTTAAGTCAGCACTGGACTTATATTCCCTCTGGAGTTAAATGTGCAGCTGCAGGATGTGAAACTCTGCTGGAATTCACCTTATGTGGTTGTATATGCAAGTGAGTCATTGGAATGAGCAGCCCGGGTGGCTTTGTAACTTTGCGCAGGTCACAGAGCTGCAGATGCTCATACTAATTCATCTATCCGATTTACAACGCACAGATTAGCAAAATGTCTCCTAATATGATGTGCGTGGGAGATGTGAGGGCCGGAATGTGGAACAGCTGGATGTCCTAACTTGGCAGATGGGGGCACTGGAGGGCTGTGTGTGGGTGGGGTGAGGGGGTTCCCTCTTTGCATCCTTCCCTTAACGGTCCACTGTGAGAACCTAGAAATGGAAACCACTCCAGGGATTTTCTGCAATGAGGTAACGGGCTTGTGAGGGAGTGGATGATGAGAACATCCCATCAGACTTCCACCCCTTTTTCCCACCCCCAACCCCCATCCACCCGATGCAGTACACACACACACACACACACACACACACACACACACACACACACACACACACACACACACACACACACACACACACACACACACACACACACACACACACACATCACTATCCCTTCCTCTTGCAGCTTCACTTTCTCATCTTTCATCAGTCATCACCGCTCACATCCGAGCATTTGTTATTTGACACAAAAAACAAAATTGTATTATTATTCTCCTCATTTTATGACATTCTGCTCCTTTCCCATTTCTCAGCTGGTCATACCATTCCAACTTTTGGAAATTATGTATCGTCACAACAGTCATGACATCCGTTCCACATTCCAAAAATAGCCACTTTTCCCAGAATCCCTCATTTTCATTCAGCAAAAATCAATTCAAGTGTATGAGACATTCAGTGAAAAGCTCCACATTTTCCAGTTCCAAATTCCACCACATATCGAGCATCTTGGGAACAATACTCATTTCCAAAAATCCCCACATGCCATCATTTTCACTATAACCTTCTCACATTTCAAGGATATGATAGCATACGGTATTTACCACGTACCGCCACATTTCTTGAACAATTTCAACTTTCCAGCTTCAAAAACTTGTGCTCACCCAGAGAACATCTTGGGACTTTTCCACATTCCATGAATTCCCACATTCACGTTATTCTTCTTTCCACAGGACAATTCTCCAACTCTCTCAATAATATTCTCAAATGTAAATGATATTGTAGCATATAGTATTTACCTTCTATACTTCCACATTTCGTGACCGATTAAAATCCATTCCATGCACCTTCAAACTGTTCTGCGGATCCTGGACCTCTTTGAAATTATTCCCATTCCCGAAACTCTAACGCATTCCAAGTTCAGTCCTCACATTCTACATTTCAGCAGTTTAATTTATTCCACAGCATTTCTGCACAAATTGCTTTCTCGAGTTTAATGATGTTTGGTCAACATTCATTGAGGTGGATTTTGAATGTGTGCAAAGTTAAACCGTTACCACTCCATGAAGCCGAAGAGCAGAGGAATATGAAAAGGAGGAGTTTTAGGAGCGCCAGGAGAGATGTGAGTGACCATGGTCAAAGCCCACCTCCCTCCTGATTTGCATCCCCCTCTATCCATGTTTAGTGCTTTTTCGTCAGGGGGTTGTGCCCTTCCAGTGGGAAGATCTGCAAGCTGTAGCACTTTTTAACATCTTTGTTCTGGACTAACTTGACTTGAACGGTGCAGGTATCAGCACACCACACTCAGACCTTGGACTGGTGTGGCGGCGAGCACCATGTTGAGGATCCTGCTCCTGGTTCTGTGTGTTGGAGGCTTGGAGGCCTGGTTCTGGCGCGCTGACCCGCGAACCACCACACTGCCCCCAACAAGTGCCTCAGCAACAACGGGTGGCGCTAAGAGCGTGAATGAGGAGGATGAGGATTTGTTGGGGGTTGGAGAAGAAATCATCAAAGTGGCAACTGGAATCCGTAACTTGGTCAAGGCATGGGATGTGACCACCAGCCCCGGGACTACTCAAGGTTCCCCGAAGGTCGACAGCGCTGAGCCTAACATAACGGGTAATATTGATGGCTTGGGAGGGGGGAGGGAGGTGGAAGGATCTGCAGTTTGGGAAAATGATGCATCTGGATCTGGATCGGGGTCCAGGCAAGATCTTGGATCTGGTGTAGAATCTGTCATCCTTCCAAGTAACCTCACGAGTATGGAAAACGGGACTCTCGATACTGGCTCTGATCCACTTTGTTTCCCCGTGCCGTCTGAATGGCACATGTGCTCCAGAAAACGCCAACAGTTCTTCACATTACCTAATTTTTTCAACCACACGTCTGTGGAGCAGGTGGGGGCAGCATTGCGGGAGTGGGCCAGTCTGACCCGGGCGGGCTGTCACCAGCGCATAGAGTGGTTCCTATGCCTCCTGCTGGTGCCCAGGTGCCCCTCGTCCTCCTCGGCACCCTTGCTTCTGCCCTGCCGCAGCTTTTGCCATCAAGTGCAGGACAGCTGCTGGGCATCTTTGGACAGTGCGGACCGTCCAGTGAAGTGTGGCCTCCTGCCTGTCGGCGCGCAGGAGCCGGGGAGCCCTGCGTGTGTGGCTATTAGTTACTCTGAAGGTAACCTTGAACCACACCCAATGTGCTGTGTTGTTTTGTTGCATGTGCTTGAGTGCACATTGTTGCTTTTTAGGCTTAACGCGTGACTTTGCATGTTTTTAGCTGCTTTGATGATGCAACAGCTGAACTTTTTTGCACCTTGTCGATGCCACGGGTCACTAAGCCACCTTACTTGGATCTTCCTGGTGATGATGCTTTCATTGCTCACAATTTTACATCAGTGCTGTAGACTGATTTTCACTGAGTATAAACTGAAGTGCACTACTCACAAAATATTTCATTATTTCGCTTTTGGGGGAAGTTTCAGGATGAACCTAAAATGTGTTGTAACTTTTGCAGGTTAACTTAATTTGACCCTTAATTTGGCTTTTTTTTGTCCAGTGTTTCAATACATCTTTTGCCCGACTTCCTGTTCTCCAAAATGGCATAACATATTTTTTAAATTCTAAGGACATCCATTTCTATGTCTTTCTGTGACTCTTCCAGTCTTTGTCTATATTGTTGCAAAATGCTGATGATATTCAGTGACACAGTGGCCACTTACTGTTTGAAGCAATGTTGATCAGTTGTTTGTTGTTGCCTTGCTCTCATGAAGTCAAAATGCGAACAGCTCTATGAAGAGAATTTTGTATGAAATTTTGCCGTTAGGCTCCTTGTTAGAAAACAGCAAGGTCAAGTTTTGCAAAAACAATTGAAACATTGAACAGTTCTATAGTTCATCCATCTTCTAAGCCACTTATCCTCACAAGGGTGTGTTGCAGTAGGCGGGGTGCACCCCGAACTGGTTTCCAGCCATTCGCAGGGCACACATATATGAACAACCATTTGCGCTCACAATCACAATTTAGAAGGTTCCATTAGCCTGCGATGCATGATTTTGGAATGTGGGAGGAAACTGAATTACCCGGAGAAAACCCATGCAGGCACGCGGAGAGCATGCAAACTCCACACAGGAAGCCTGCAATCGAACCCTGCACCTCTGCACCGTGAGGCGGATGTGCTCCAAGGGTGTCAAACTCATTTTTGTCGTGGGCCACATTGTAGTTACGGTTTACCTGAGCGGGCCATTATGACCTATGACTTATGAATTTTGAGAAACTGTATCAATGTTTGATCACCTCCACACATTACATTTCCAGTGCACAACAAATCGGTGGATAACTACTTTTGAAATCAGACGTCAAAAATAATGGTTAGTTCAGCCATTGTTTACGTTAATGTAATAAGTACGTAATGAGACAATGCTTGCAATATCTCTAGGTATTGATATATTACATATGACAATTAAAAAGTTTGGTTCAGACTTTAGCAAGCATCATGGAAAAGTTGACATGCTTTATTTTCCCCCCACAGGCCACACAAAATGATATGGCGGGCCAGATCTGGCCCCGGGGCCTTGAGTTTGACACCTGTGTGCTAACCACTCGACCACCATGCCGCGTTCTAAAGTTCAGTTAAGGTCAAACACATTTTGCATGGCGACACTTATGATACATTTTCAGATCATCCTGAAAGCCCACTGGCTCAAACTTTTAGTGAGTAACGTTTGTTTGGTTTGCAGGCTGACTCATAAACAGCCTTGTGTTGTTTCGTAAAAGCCTCCCTGCTGCTGCATGCAGTTGTCACTGTTGCACGTTCTCTACACAAGCCCACTTTACAAGTTTGCATTTCAGAAAATGTACTTCTAACCCATTGCCTTAATGTAAGATGTCCATTTTGAGAACACTTTCTGGGTATATTTCCATCAGAACTGCACTAAAAACGTTTTCTTCTTTGCTTATTCATCAAGTGCTTGCAGCAAAACTGAAGGTTTTGACTTTTTGGAGCCTTTGAAGCTCACTGTTGATGAGCATTGTTCCGTTTCGATTGTCACCCATGGAGCGAGTTATCCACGACATTTTGTTTCTCCATTTTGGAATATCGTGTGGGTCTTTCTAGACGAGCAGGGTTTCGGCATAGTCTGTCACCAAAAAAGGGAACAATCGGGGTATTTGTGACAGGAGAGGTGGCAGCGGGTGGCATTTATGATGGCATTTTGGGTGGGAAAAGGCGTCCTCTGTGTGGGAGGGAGGGCGACAGCGTCATGGCTTGTAACAAGGGATCTTTGTGATTGGGACGAGACGGGGCCTCCTAAATGGCCCGCTAGAGGTGCAAAGATCACGGGCAGTTGCCCACCCTACCAAACCAATGACTCGTCGTAATTAAAGAAGAAGAAGAAAAGCAGTCAGTAAGTGTGTGAAAGGGACATTTATGCCAAAATCACCCTCGTTGCACAGCGCGCAGATTCCCCAAAATATGCAGGAGCTCACTTTTCAATTACATTTTGGGCTTTTTCAATCGTGGAGACCATTTGGATATTTTGCAGGCATCCAGCCAACCATGTAAAATCTTCAGGGTTGCCTTTGTTTCCAAGTACAGTATTGTGCTTGGAGTAAAACGACAAATTGTGTTCAAATCTTGCACATCTCAGCTCACTGATCCTCCATCAGTCGATTTTAATTCGCTCTCAAGTTCTTCAAACATGAACATTTGACGGGTGTCTCAGCTGTTTCATTTTGGTAGATAATCCCCCAAGATGTGCCAAATCTACTTGGTTAGGTCCCTGGAGGCGTGTTCATGTGGATCAGCCTGTCTAACAGAACATTAGATGTTCATGTATTGCCAATGTCCCTTATTTGGTTCTTTGGCCGCTTATCAAACTTTGGGATCAAGCCGATAAGATACAGTAGCTGTTGTGTGTGGGTGTATACTAAAACTTTTGTTGGAGTTCATTTCCTTTGCCCCTGCTGAAACGCATTAGTTCCACCGTCAGCCGTATCGGGTCCTATGCGCTTCTGGTCCCCTGCGATCTGCTTTCCCATGCACATCTGACAAGCATTTCCTTCCTCCGCCTCCATCTGCCCATCCATCCATCTCCCTGCTCTGCTGCCAGTTGTTCCACAGGCGCTGAATTACTGAAATGTGGTCCTCATGTAATCTGCAGGAACATGAGGTCACTTTGTTTGCTGGGAAATATACACAATGTTGTTGTTTCACGGAATTAAGCCAGCAGGGAGCATCCGGGTGTATGTTGTGATGGTTTACCATTTGTGCATGTCATACCAGCTTCCATCTGGAATATGAGGACCCCTGTTTAATTTGAATGACTGCCACCAGTAACACCAGAGGTGGAAAAAGTACTCGCACTCAGTATTTAACTAAAAGTTCAGAAACTCCTTCTTAAAAAAAGAAGAACTTGTCAACACAAAGAAAATACTTGCGGTCTTTTATTACATACAGTATATCATGAAAAGTCAAGCCCTTCTCTCAGCTCTCAGAAGCTGGAGGCGTGTCTACTGAATGTGCATGCCCAACTCAACTGTCAATGAAATATGTTCATAAGTCTAGTATTTTTCATATCCCTTTCTGTGTGGGCTCCGGAAATATTTCTGCTTAAAGACTGCTGTGGCTGGATTATATGGCCGAGTTGTCACATAGAGGCTCTAGTGACGAGCTAGTTTGCGACCTAACAGGCTTCCGGACTCCGCGAACCAGCAGCGGGCTCATATAATACGTCACGACCTCACTTGGTGTTGTGTGAGTGTGTAGCACATAGCAGAGACTCATCAAGGACAGTCAACTATTTATTAAACACGGCAGTATGTTATTGAGTCTGTGGCTCACGCTACATGGCAGACATTTGTGCACCAGTTAATATTACTCGTTATTCTCTATCTATATACCCACAATGCTTTATGTTTCAATGTATTATGGTAGTTGGAATAACCCGAAATACATAACAATTGGGAATTTAAAAAAGGGCACCAACTTGTTCTGTAATTTGACATATTTTCGGCATGTTGGTACAGTATAGCTAGATAGTTAACCGCATGCTGTAGTGGTAGCAATGACCTAAAAATTATCACTATTGATGACCACAACTGATCTCGCAATGTGTCCTGCAAGTACAAAACAATATTAAAAAAAATATTGAAGAAAATATTGTTGAAAGCCCCGGATGGGGAATATCTCACTTGTCCAAGTCTGCTGCCATCGTGCTTTATGGTTCCCGTTTCAAGCACAGTAACAGTAACCAGTGAGTACCACTGAGTGAGTTGCCCTTTGTATAAAGGCCGGAGGCATTGCAAACCCTAACAAAGTGTGTAACTGTGCTTCAAGTGGTCTTGTATTGCACAATATTACACAGACATGCTGATGTTCAGAGGCCTCTGAGGGAATCAGTGGCCTGGACCACATCCAGATGTGCTTCGACATTAAACTTTCAGCACTCTTAAATGCAAGCTGTTCAAGCGGTACTCAAACGTTCATTCATTCAGCTCATTTCAGACAGCAGCTGCGGGAGCTGTGTCGGCACCACAGGAACCTGAAGCAGGAAAGCAGGTGCTACCATTGGGAGAATTGAGCAGACCACCCCGCATACCTTGTTCCACATCCCGTTGGAAAATAGCCTGCACCGAAGATGTGATGAGTGTGTGAAAACATTTTCCGGATGAACGCTTGTTTGTGCTCCATTGTGCTACTCTGCAGTTGGTGCTCAATATTGACTTCACTCTTCACTTATGAAAATGTGATGTCGAGTTTGCCCCCATTTTGTTTTCTTAAGTGAGATATGGATTCCCTCTGCAACTGAACACATGATGCTCTTACATCACTCGGACACAAGTGGCCTCCCTGACCCCCTTAAAGCACACCATTTTTTTCAGTTTCTCTCATGAATCTGCCACACAGGCTCTTCCCTCTCACCAATGGAAGCAACTGCTAGGCCCAAGAGCCTCCTCCCTTGTGATGCCTTGTGAGATTTTGACTTGTTGGCCTCGAGATAATTTTGTTCGATGTGAACTGTAATACCAGCTTTTTTCCGGTAATCTGGCCCAGTCATTTTCGACCACACACTTGTTGCTGTTTGTTTCATGTTTGTGTAGTCAAGAATGGACAAAAATGCAGTCAGAAATGAGGACGAAGGAAGACAACATTTGAATGCTGTTGTATTCCCGGATAGAAATGAGTGTGTGTCAATCGATTTTTTTTTCCCCTGCGGTGGAAAAGTGGTTAGCGCATCTGCCTCACAGTTCAGAAGTTGTGGGTTCAATTCTAACAGTCTGTCTCTTCCTTCCCTGCAGAGCAGAGCAGTTTGTCTCTGCTCCAACTAATCGGAGATCCGCCACCCGATGAGATTGGTCGGATCTCGGGGCCAGGCGGTGCCCCGGCCTACATCTTCACCTCTGCCGCCGTGTCGGGCCAGCCGGCTCTGGCCCACGTGCCCAACCCGTTCTACCGCCACTTCTCCCTCCTCTTTCACATCAAGCCATCCACATCAGCCGCCTCCGTCCTCTTCTCCATCACCGATGGGCCCCAGAGGCTTATGTATGTGGCCGTTAAGCTCAGCGCCGTGCAGTCGGGTCGCCAGAGAGTGCAGTTTTTCTACACCGAGCCTGATTCCGAGGCGTCGTACGAGGCCGCGAGCTTCGACGTGCCGAGCCTGGTGGACAAATGGACCCGCTTCTCGCTGGCTATCTTTGAGGAGCAGGTGACCTTCTACCAGGACTGTGAGGCAGTGCCACGGGTGGTGAAGTTTGAGCGTTCTCCGGACCCCATGGACCTTGACGCAGGGGCCGGGATCTTTGTTGCTCAGGCAGGGGGGGCTGACCAGGACAAGTTCCAGGTTAGCATGCCACATTTCACATGTTCATGGAGCGTGTACCTCCAAAAGTCTGAATGATATATCTTATCTTATGTTTCTTGATTAGCTCAATGTACTCTGGGGATAAAAAAATTATACTCTGGAACAACAAAAACATTTATTACAGCTGTAGTTATGAGTCAGTCTTAAATTATATTTATGATTTTGATTTGATTTGACCAAATCAAAATTTTACTTATGCATTAACACTAAGTTAAATTATAGTTTATTACAGTGCTTCTCAATATTTTTTGTTAAGCACCCCTTTAAGAAATATTTTGTGTCGCCCAACTCGCTGCTGTGACTATAAATATTATCATTTGCCTTTGAAATTGTTTGTCAGTAGACCTCTGCAAAGGAGCTAATATTCCTTGTGTGCTCTCTGACAATGAGAATGTCACCTATTGTAGTGGGTGTGCAATTACACTTTTTTGAGTACAGCAAAAAAAATAAAAATAAAAATAATAATATTAATAAATAAAAATATTTGAAAAGGACTGGTTAGTATCACAACCGTTGACTACTTTGACGATTGTTTTTTTCCCATTTGTTCTTTTTCCCTTGTAATTTTTTCCTTTCATTGATTCTTTTTGGTCCTTTCTGACCTCCCTTCTTCCTTCTTTTTCCTTCTTCTATTCTTAACGACATTCTTTCTTCCTGAGCGGCGATTGGAACCCAGAAATGTGAGGGAGCCGTGCTGAGTGCTTGACCATCGTTTTGTCCCCAGTTCCAAGACTTTACATCACTGACTCCTTTCTAATTTCCTCTTCCATGCCTCCATGCTTTCATTCTCATGTCTTTCTTATGTCCTTGCTTCTTTTTTGTTTGCTTTTTCTGTTTCCTTCCAAAATCCAAAATGCAGTCTGTAAAATTGTGACCCATCCTTCCAGTGTACAGTATGAACAGCAACTATGAATCACGAAAACCGTTGGTTTTTAAATGGAAATGTGATTTGAGTACAAGTATTGCTTTTGATTAGTTTTGAGTGGTGTGAGACTAGATTTAGTTGGAAAGCCCATTTTTTTTATAAAACAATATAAAAATGCACTTGAGATGAATGACACAGTTTTGTTTTGTTTTTTTGTTTATTTAACATTTGCTCCTTATTTATTTTTCCTCTCTTTCTATGATCACCGACCTTTCACTGACACTCCCCCTTTAGGGTGCTATCGCTGAGCTGAAGCTGGTGGGAAACTCTCAGGCAGCCGAGCGTTTGTGTGACGACATCGACGACGACTCTGATGTTGTGAGTATTCCAAGCGTTTCCCCCTGGTGAGATCTGACGTCTGGGCGCTTAAATGCCACCTGCTTGTCTCACAGGCCTCTGGCGACTTTGGCAGCGGTGATGGCAGCAGGAGGGAGACAGGAGGCAAAGTGAAGGTCAGTCAGCCCGTTGGTGAACAATACTGTTTTAAAATCTTTGTTATTTGATGCACAGTAAGTAAGAGAGTTGAAGGGTTGAACAGATTTGATCGCCTCCTATTCTACCACCAGACCACTCCTGCATCCATCAGGCCAGTGCCTGAGCCTCCACTGATCGCCTCGAAAGGAAGCAGACTGAAGGAAACAGGTCATTTTTAGCTTGTTTGCAAACCAGATAAGTGGTGAAATGCCTCCCCCTGTTGACACTGTTGCACCACTTCAATTGTTTAAATTGTGGGGTTATGAGAGGAATTGCTCAGTTATATGACAATTTGTTTTGCACGGTTACTGACAAGGTAATAATTATTGAGAATGTAACACTACTTGGGTATTCTCTCGGATAAAGTAATTCTTTATCTCTCTCTCGCTCTCTCTCTGTGTCTCTCATCCTATTAGTTTACCTCAGAAGTGGAGCCAGTCTTTCTTCATCCCATAAAATCGAATTGTCACAGCAGCAATATTGACACACACATATACTCGTATTAATAATGTAGAAACAAACATCTATGCATAAACAAATACAAAAACAGTATTGATGAGAAGTTCAAGATAAAATTCTGGAAAACCGACCTTATTTTCCGCACTATGAGGCGCACTTAAAAGCATTCAATTCTCTCAAAAGCTGACAGTGTGCTTTATAATCCGATGCGCCTTCTATATGGATCAATGTTCTGATTTCTTGGATGTAGTACAGTATTTTAAATATTCTGCGAAGCGCTTTGTTATCGCTGCAGCGGTCGTGAAAGTGCGATATAAATAAAGCTGTATTGTATTGTATTGTATTCTCTTTAGCGGTGGGCCCTACATATGAAAACAGTTTTAAAATAGGCCATTCATTGAAGGTACGCCTTATATGCCGAAATGCCTTAAAGTATGGAAAATACGGTAATTGAAACAACAAATTAATTAATTTAAAAAAAGCAGATTGAGATTTTGCATGTTTGTGTGAGGTGAGTTAAAAAAAAGAATAAAAAAAAAACTAGTCTAATTCTGTAATTATGGTAAAATATGCACAAGGCTGGTAATATTTTTGACAGAAACGTATACGATACACCCAACAGGTACAGCATCTGAGGCTGTTGATATGCATAATATGCATGCATAATATTGCGCACTGTTACTCATCTTTCAGGTTTAAGTGGGGCCAAAGGAGAGAAAGGTGACAGAGGAGAGAAAGGCACCCGAGGGGACAGAGGCTATGCAGGGCCAAAGGGAGACCCTGGTTCAGGCTTCTCCTCACAAGCTGGAGCTGGCGGACAGAAGGTGGAATTTTGCAATATGCATGTTTATTATCTTACGCATATATCCATTACTATACAGTAACTGTATCAAACTCTGTGTCTTGTTAGGGAGAAAAGGGAGACAAGGTCTGTGGTCGTTGCCCTATGTTCTTACGTTCTTTTTTTTTTTTTTTTTTTAATGGAGGAATGAGAAAAATGAAATAAAGAGACATATACAGTATTTTTTTACTCTGCATCAACAGGGTAGTACAGCCTTTGGAAGTAAAGGAGAGCGTGGTGCTCAGGGCCTCCCAGGTCCACCTGGGCCCCCTGGACCTGCAGCTGAGATGGTCCCTTTTGGGGATGGGGCCAAAATGCAGCATGTGCCTGGACCCCCTGGATCGCCGGGCCGGGATGGATTGCCTGGTCCACCGGGAGCTAACGGAGAGCCTGTGAGAGAATTCAAGAAATATGATGAATATCGGCTTTTATTATTTCATAAATGCAGCTCATTGGTTGTAAATGATGTTGCAGGGGGACCCGGGAGAGGATGGAAAAACTGTGAGTGTGTGCAGTGCATTTCAATAGATGTCGGCACAAACAGACATTGACAGAGTAAATGTAATTGTTTTTTTCAGGGTCCTGCAGGGCCGCAAGGTTTCCCAGGAACGCCGGGAATCTCTGGTGCTAAAGGGGAAAAGGTTCAGTTACATTTGAGTTACAGTTGAACTTTTATGTTATCACACAACATTGAATTTTTGACCTCTGAACCTCAGGGTGAGCGGGGCGAAGGACAACCTGGACCCAGAGGTCCCCCAGGGCTCCCAGGACCTCCGGGACCCAGATCTGGAAATCATCCAGTATGCCTTACACACATTTCACCATCACAACGATCTTGTTATATTTGATTGTGTTCTTCCACAGACATTTGTTGACATGGAGGGCTCGGGATTCCCAGAATGGGAGAAGATCCGGGTATGCTGAGGCGTTGTCATTCTCTGGGTGCACTCACACTGGCCAATTTATACCAGGCTTGGGCATGCTTGACTTCACATTTACTTCAAAATCCAGTTTTCTTTTACTAGTATGAGTACATATCACCGTTGGCCATTCACAATGGGGGGCTTGCCGAATCACAGTAGCAAAAAATTGGACCAGTGGGAGTGCAGCCTAAATCATAGGATGTGGAAGAATTTGCGAATTGATCCTCTTGTTGTTTGTTGTTTCAGGGTCTTGTTGGTCCTCCAGGCCCCCCAGGCCCTCCAGGCCCACCTGGGGTCCCTGGTACATCAGTTGAATTTGGATCCAATGGTCCAGTTGCCTTTGGACCTCCTGGACAACCTGGAAGACCTGGAGCCCCAGGTCTACCAGTATGTAGCTACCTGTGCTTTCTAACCCAGAATCAATTCAGGTTATCTTGGCAGGGTGATGTGTTTGAGCTCCACTTTTTGCAGCTGTTTAATCCTGTGTGCTGTTTCAGGGTTCTCCTGGTCTGAGTGGTTTTCCAGGTCAGCCTGGGCTCAAAGGAGAGAAGGTTAGATTCAAATAAGGCAAGCGTGTGGGCACTTTCAGTCTTGTAATCTGAACATATTCCACATGGTCTCCAAAGGGCGACAGTGGGGAGCTCAACACTCATGGAGGGGCCGGAGAGAAGGTGGGTAATCAAAAATTGCAGTCTTTTGATGTCTAGAATAAATAAATAATATATAGTACCGCTGAAGAGATTCCTTTGACGGAGGATCATCCTTTGCAGATAGGCGGGTCTCTCTGGTGGTTTCGTCTCTTTTTCTCATTTCAATAAATCCCTCCCGGGGTGAATAAAGTTAGGGATATTGGGATTTGGGCTAAAATTTTAGGATGAACCCAAAAGATTTTCCAGCTGAACTTCATTTGACCTTCTCTCAACTTGTGAATCCACATGTCCAACTACTCATAGTTTCTTTTTGCACAACTTGCTGTTCTGTAACAAGGAGCTTCATGGCAAAATTCACAACAGGAGTTTGATCCATGAATGGACTCATGAATTTTCAGTCGTCTTCCTCATGCTGTACACATGTTGACATTATGACACCATCTTAAACCAGAAGTCGCCACCTAGCTGTGAATTTCACAGCGTCATCAGCAGGGTGCAGCAGAAATACGCAGAGCCTAGAAGAGTCACAGAAACGTTATGTATAAAGTAAAAATCAGACATAAAAAAGCAATTGAAACAACAAATTGAAAACATTAAAAAAAAAAAAACAGTAAACCGAATAAAGCACTAAACGGTGCAAAGAAAGGCAAAGTGGACGTCCTTGGAAATACATTGGTTGATTCATGCATCATACATGCTGATCTGTTCCTTCTTTTAGATTAGAAAATTGTGCAAAAAATAGTCAAACACTGAACAGTTGGGCATCTGCATTCAAAAGTTCACTTACAAAGGTTATACTGCATTCTAAGTTCAACCTGTAATACGCTCCTAAATCCGAATACCTCCAACTTTTTGTGACTAGTCTACCTGTCTAACAGGATATGAGTAACACATGTTTATTCCAGGGTTCTCGCGGTGACCCGGGACTGCCAGGATCACCAGGACAGACTGGGCTAGCAGGGCTTCCGGGTCCGATGGGCCCACCCGGACCTCCAGGACGTCCAGGGCCACCAGGGCCGTCATCCCCCTTTGGCTTTGTGAGTATAGGCTCAACATTCTCACTTTGTCATTTTGTCTATTAAAAACAGTAACCTGACAATCAGAAAATGAGTTTGCCCCACTATTTTGGGCAACTTCATGCAATTTTATTTTCATAAGTGTAAAAAGAGTGACTCGTCAATTTCGGAATGCATTCAAAAAGGTACTGTGGTATTGATCCACTTGTACAGGCTGACCGGGAGGGCTTTGAGACAAATGTTGGCTCACCAGGAGTTAGTGGCCCACCAGGTCCACAGGTATTGCATCACGCCTCACGCCAGTCGCCTTACTCCAAAAGCAGCGCCACTAAATGTGGATTGTGTCATGTTTTCCAGGGTCCTCCAGGTATTGCAGGTCTGCCGGTAAGCCATTGTCTCATCTCTTTTCACTCTCAGCTTAGTTGTGAAGCTCTTTTATAAATTTGCTTGATGAGTTGTACAAATCCCCAGTTCAACTGTTTGGATTTTTAGGGTAGACCAGGTTTACCCGGAACCAATGGCGACAAAGGAGCGGAGGGACCAAGAGGTGCGCCTGGAATTCCAGGTTTGGATGGCTTTCCCGGACATTTGGTAAGCTTGCAGATGAATTCCATTTTTTTTTTTGTGCTTTAGTTGAAAGGAGCACAAGACAACTAAATCATAAAGATTGAGTGAAATCAACGAATTACTATTTCATTGTTTCAATTCAGGGGCCGAAGGGAGACAGAGGAGACAAGGGCGAACAAGTAAGTCATCAATGAAATATTTTGCAACAGATTCTAAGCAGCACATAAAGATATAAATGTTCCATATTTTGGTTGACATCACAGGGTCTGCCAGGCCGTGACGGAGTGCAACCTGGACCTCCGGGGCCTCCAGGACCTCCAGGCCGCATCATTTATTCGACTGGTGATGTGAGTCAATAGTCAAAGTGTAATCGCACGGCAACACATCATTAACCCGGTGGCACCATCTAACCTCTCTCACTAACCACCACGCCTTTGCCTCAGTGTTGGTTCACCATCATACGCACTAACCCAACTATGCCTCGCTGTAGTATGACAGCCTTTATTGGGGCGCAAGTTTGCAGGTGAGTGGATGCAGCTGTTGACCGAGAAACAATATGACAAGGTCACCATGCGTTTGCAACTTTTTCTTTCTGTTTTTCTGTCAGACGGGAGCAGGACTTCCGGGCCAAGATGGATTTCCCGTGAGTTAACCTGCAATCACGGGAGAGGATGTCAGATGTAAAAAAAAAAAACAGAGATAAATGTTTGGTGTCTTGGTTCATTTTAGGGGCCAATCGGACCTAAAGGAGAAAAAGGCGACACGGGTCTTCCAGGGCATGCCCATAAGGTAAGCCGATCCACCCTAAATTAAAAGGAAAGAGAGATGGCGCTTTCAGGTACAATTTCAGGATGAACTTAAAATGCGCTATAATCTTTCCAGGTGAACTGAATTTCATCTTCTTTGAATGCTCATCCAACTTTCCGTTGTTTTTGTACTTTTTGCACAACCTGATGAACAGCACAATTCACAACAGGTGTTTGATGCATAAAAATTTCCAAGGACGTCCAATTGTATGCCTTTCCGTGACTTTTCCGGTCTTCCCGTTGCAACCGACTGATGACACCCTGTGACACTCGAGGCTCATTGGCCACTTCCTGTTTCCAGCCTTGTTCTGTTGATCATTTGTTTCGGGTTGTCTCAGTCTCATGAAGTCAGTATGTAGACAGCATGATGAAGAGGGACATTTATATTCCACTACTAATGAAATGAGGAAATGTATTGGTCCATTCTTGAACCAAACACCTGTTGTCAATGTTGGTGTTCAGCTGTTTGTGCGAAGAAAAAGCACTGAAACATTGACTTCTTGAGCATGTGCATTCAAAAGTTGAAAGAAAGCAAATGAAGTTCACCTATAAAACGTATTGCATTTTAGGTTAATCCTGCAATTTCCCCTGCAAAAACCAATATTCCAAACTTTTTTTTTCGTGAGTAGTGTGTTCTGTAAGTATAAGGATACATGTCATTTGTTCAGGGGGAAAAAGGAGAGCCGGGTCTCATCATGGGTCAAGATGGGCGACCTTTGTACCTGGGGGGCCTGACAGGGAAACCGGTAATTATGACATCATGTTTTCTTCTTTTACATTAACTAGCAATGCATTCATATAGGGCTACGTGATGTTAACATCACTCTTTGTTCTGTCCGCAGGGAGATATAGGACCCCCGGGCCCAGCTGGACCCCCAGTATGTACACCGTTTATACACACTCACTGTACACATTGTTACCGAATGGCTTTGGCAGTTTTTGAGTGGCACAACCCTGTAATCTTTTTCTCTGCAGGGCTCTTATGGCCCTCCAGGTCAAAAAGGAGAAATTGGGCTTCCAGGTAGACCAGTGAGTAGTTATTCTACTTTTATTATTATTATTTTTTTTATTCTTCAAAATACAGTATCTCACAAAAGTGAGGACAACTGTCACATATATTTTATTATATGTCTATATTTTTATTATCTTGAGTCTGTGTACTTGTGTAGCCATTTAAATGTACTGTTCTCTCAAAATGATAATAACACAAAGCTATTAATGTCTAAACTGCTGGCAACAAAAGTGAGTACACAGTGAAAAAAAACAAACAAATTGGGCCCATTTATTTTGCCTCCCAGGTGTCATGGGACTCATTAAGTATTACAAGGTTCCAAGTGGGAATGGGGCAGCCGGTGTGTTAAGTTTGGCGTTATCGCTCTCACACTCTCTCAAAAGACTTCAAAAATGTGAGGGGTGTACTCACTTTTGTGAGATACTTTGATACCATCTGTCAATGTGGAATGCATTTTGCTCTGTAGGGTCGACCAGGACTAAACGGCATTCAAGGACAAAAAGGAGAGCCGGGCGGAGGGTCTGGAACCACATACTACGTGAGTATACTCTGTTCTCATGGGGGGATTCGGGAGAACTGGGTCAGTATCAACTAAAGCAAACACCACGTTTTGATGTAGGGACCCCCAGGTCCACCAGGCCCACCTGGACCTCCTGGACCACCATCCAGAGTAAGTTAAGATGTAAATGCTGAAGTAGGTGCATTCTTCACCACCTTCAAAGTCGTCTTATTTTCATCAAATAGGATACTGTTAATTTCCGTCTAAATGCTGTCCCTTTGTCATTCTAGGGATACGATGAGTATTCCAGGTATTCCCAAGGTGAGTGCACGACGCATTGAGTTGTTGTCTGAATCAATGGTTTGTCTCGATTTACAATCACCATTTTCCTGTTGTAGCTATTAAAGGAGAGAAAGGTGACGCTGGGACACCAGGAATACCTGGCCAACCAGGTACTGTAACTTAGCTTGCGCTGGACTTCAACCATGCTCTTGTTGTGTTAAGAACAAGTTTATACGATGAATATCTTGCTTGTGATTCAGGTGTCGGGTCAAACTTTGACATTTATTCCCTTAAGGTAAGGCTCCTTTGTCGAATGTTTGTCAACACAAAAATGCTCTGACAGGCAGCGTTAACGCTGGAAATGTCACAATGATTCTGTGTCTAGAATGAATTGAAGGGTGAACCGGGAAATTCGGGTTTGAAAGGAGAGAAAGGCGAACCGGGAGGTGGATATTACGACCCAAGATATGGAGGAAGCGGTGTAGGCACGCCGGGAGTACCTGGACCTCCAGTGAGATCATATTACTGTGGTTGGAACAAAGCTCACAAATACCTGCAGTTGATCAATAAAACAAAATATTTTAGATCATCAAATCAGAAAGAAAACAAGAGCGCACTCCTTCCTATGTCAATCACACTAAAGCTCAGGATCCAATATTATTCAACACATAGCTGTCAAGTTAAATCTGATTCACTCCAAACAGAGTACCGGTATTTGTGATTTCGATGAATTTCCTGACATATTACAATCAAATCAAAAGGTGCCTTAAAAATGATCAATTGAACAGTGTGGACACTTAAGCAAACCAGTCGGTGTCTTTCTCTTGATCCCACTGCACAAACTGTACAGCTATCTTTGATAACAAATAGCAGTTCTGAAATGATTCGTCTGGCACAAAAAGTGTTACTTGACATGGGTTTGTAGACGTAACATCGATTTTACCACCAGGGTCCCAGAGGGGACTCCATTCCCGGCCCACCGGGTCCCCAGGGGCCACCTGGTCCACCAGGAAGAGGCTATGATGGCCGCCCTGGACCACCAGGGCCACCCGGACCCCCTGGCATCCCCTCTTTCCCTGGACCTCACAGGGGCACACATAGTAAGTTGGATAACAATCATTTCAATTTCAATCTATTAGTAGTATAGACATAAATTGGCCCTTTGCCTCTTGAATAACAGCGATCAGTATTCCTGGACCACCTGGGCCACCTGGACCACAAGGACTACCTGGATATTCTTCTGGGGTGAGAAAATCAAAAAATGAACTCAAAAAAGAGTCACTTTGCAATCCCAGTAGTAGCCCACCTTTCGCCCGAAGTTAGCTGGAAATAGGCTTCAGATCAATGTTCCTTCTAAGCTGCGTGCGTGAGCAATTGCGCACTTCTCTCATCCTCTCACTGCACATGGTGATGCTGGCGCACCCCATATACACACATTACATTTCTCCACTCATTCCTTCATTTCCACCCCAGCTGAATCTACAAACAGGACACCACACCATTCCCGTTTCCCTTCAGTTTCAGTAGCATAACCAAGGGTGCACATTGACACACATCAACTCACACCCACCACTGCACTGACGCGTCGTTGCAGGCGGACACACTGACTGAGAGCCCTTAAATGAGGCCCTTTCAGGTGACCATAATTTTTTTGTATTTTATCAGATGACATGTTTTCCATTATTTATGAGTGGACAATGCATATTGATACAGACTTGATTGAGAATTATGCTGAAAAGGGTGTGTGTGTGTGTGTGTGTGTGTGTGTGTGTGTGTGTGTGTGTGTGTGTGTGTGTGTGTGTGTGTGTGTGTGTGTGTGCGCGCTAATTGAAAGTAACAAACTCGGGCTGATTTTCCTGTCACAAATCTCTATTTAATGATGTATTCTCTTTTGATGTGTAGGTGGTTTGATTTTTATCTACATCATGTAACTTGTGATGAACGCAGGTTTTGAACAGGTGTATTACTGCTTTCTGAGGTTGCTCACCAAGGGATGCTCAGGGAGTTTGTGTAAATGCTGAGACACATGGAGAATTAGAGGGAACCTTGCTTCAGATCCATGCAACTCTGAACAGGAAAAGTGCAATAGAAAATGGATGGACATTTTAAATTGTGCTGTGGTTGTTGGTTTAAGGAATTCTTTCAGTTTTGTTCTGTCCAGATATAACATGATAATAGGATGGTTTTTATTTTCATTTTGGTTTCTTCTTGCCACTATCATAACAAGTGGGGACTGGGAAAGCATGTTAGTCTCACTGTGCCTAACTTCCGTGCCCACATTTAGATCTCGGGCAACACCATGATGACTTTTCCTTTTTTTGACATACAGGTGACAGTGTTGCAGTCTTATGACATCATGACTGCCACTGCTAGAAGACACCCGGAGGGTTCTCTAGTCTACGTCATAGATCGGACAGATCTTTACCTTCGAGTCAGAGACGGGGTTCGTCAAGTCCAGGTAAGAACTAGCTCTTCTCTTTAAAAAGAACCACAGAAGGTAGCTTTTTCATGAACTTAATTGTTACCTTTCTTCTTTTTCAGCTTGGGGGCTATATTGCATTACCAAGTGAGAATGTGAGTGTCCTGCATGTTTTACCAAAGTTTCTATTTCCCAAATAGACCATTTTAACATGACGTCTCTCAGACAAAAATTCCAATAGCACTCCGATAAAACAAAGGCTTGTCATTGACACCAAGACGGAGCCAATGAGAAAACTGGACAAACTGGTTAAATGAGGATTTTCGTCTTCTCTACTGCCATGTATAAAGTGTCAGTCAAGATGTTACGGGAAATAAAGTGCTCGGAAGGGAGATGGAAAGCTGGCAGTGATTTAGATTTTAATTAGGTGAGCTCAAAATAGACGTGGTGGAAATTTAGTCAAAGTAAACATTATGATGAAGGGACTGGCTAACAATTTGATTGTTCCCGTTGCTCGAAATAATGGCACAGGCATGCTCTTTTGACGCTGAAATGGAAAGCGTACTCGAGAGCTGACATTAGCCAGCAAGCTAGTCATTATGGTTTTCGAAATCATTGTACTTTAAGACAACCCCACCAAAACCTTTTGACATTGAGTACCGGTAAGAAAATATCCCCCATCAAACATGATGGTGGAGGTTTAATTCCTTGGAAGAAAAAAAATATATGTATCATGTGGTGCAAGCCCAAACACATTTTTGTCATCGTTTTCAGTTTAAATCAATGGTAGTCACTCTCGTTCTGTACCCTGGCACCTATGGTACACAACCATTATGAAAAGTATGAAAAGCTTTTAAATATTCGCTGCACACTATTTGCAGGCTAATGAGGTTGCAGCAGTGGAGCCACCGCCAGTCGTTCCGTACTCCCCACACAGCAACTCGAGTGACTCCCACGAGCAAGGGGAAAGGCCAGAACAGCTTAATCCAGACCGTGTTTCCCAGCCTGACCCACGTCACTCAAGTCAGCTGTACCCTCCTTACCAAACAAATCCAGACGGCAGAGAGCGAAACCTTCCTGACAGCAGATACCACCCTGACACTCGACATACAGCTCAGCCGGATCCGCGATACCCGGCCCCAACAGACCCCAGATACCCCAGTTACACAGACCGGATCAATAACCAAGACGGTCGTTATGCAGTCCATCCGGCCCACGAACACCCGCCTTATTATGCTGTGACCCCTCAGAGAAGGCCTCCCCCACCTGTGGCCCAGAATCCCGTCCACCATCACACATCAGGTCCAGGGGTAAGAGAAGCTGTCACTTGCACGTGCTTTTATTGTATTGTACGTAGAGTAACACTAAGCTTTGGGGTTTCTCCAGCTCCATCTTATCGCCTTGAATCAGCCCCAGACTGGATCTATGAGGGGCATCCGGGGTGCCGACTTCCTGTGTTTCACCCAGGCTCAAAGTATCGGAATGAAAGGAACATTCCGGGCATTCTTGTCCTCAAAACTCCAAGATCTCCAAAGCATTGTCCGTAAAGCTGACAGAGAGCATATGCCAATCGTCAACTTGAAGGTAAATCAAACAAAACAGTTGGGAATATTCCATGACTACTGATCAGCCGCTTTGTATGTTTCAGTGTGTATTAATCGTTCACATGCCTGTGCTTTTTACATTTTCAAAGTTGTCCTCCCCCACAAAACTATTGTTTTGTCTCAACAGGATGAGGTTTTGTTTGACAACTGGGATGCGATTTTTAACGGTGGCACTATCAAGGAGAATGTCCCAATCTATTCTTTTGATGGAAAAGATGTTCTCCACGACGGTACATGGTATGGCTTTTCAGCAACATCATGCAATTTCACCGTTTCACATTTTCTTGATCATGCATAGGGATTACTGACAATTAATCAGCTGTCTGATGCCGCTTGCCCTGGTCAGGGTCAGTATTTTGGAGGTGTTTCATTATTTATGTGAACAATACTTTTTCCGGGTTGTAATGCTTTTATGCAACATACAGTACCTTGTTCGCCCCATTTAGGCGTGACTTGAGCCTGAATTACACCTGACACAAATGTGTCTTGTGCGGTTTTCGCAGGCCTGAGAAGATGATGTGGCACGGCTCCGTCGCCAATGGTCAGCGGCAGGTTGATGGTTTCTGTGAGTCGTGGCGCATGAGTAGTCACGTCCTAACCGGCAAAGCGGCCGCGCTCCAGAGCGGCAGTCTGCTCCAGCAGACTTCCAGCGGCTGTTCCAGCTCCTACGTCGTCCTGTGCGTGGAGAACAGCTACATTGGCCATGGCAGGAGATAAACGCACACACGGGATGGAGAGAAACCTGCTTGGGACTATAAATGTTGTTTGATCGTTTCCTTGCAAATACGTGTTTGTTTTTTCATTTTATATTGCAAGTAGATTAGATTGTGCTAAAACAAGAAGATTGTATATGTGAAACCATGAACGCTTTCATGCGTTTCCAGGGAGACGATATTAATGTATCCTACAGCTCTGGGGAAAAAATGAACTCCAAAACTACTGCTTTCTGTGATTTTGCTATTTATAGGTACTGTATAATCATGTTTGAGTAGAATGAAAAAGTTAATTTTATTTTATAAAATACTGACAACAGAACTCCCAAATTTCAAAGACTGTCATTCAGAACTTTTACAGTATTTGCAGAAAGAAAATTTGTCAAAACACCCCAAAAAGTTTCTGTATTTTTATTGGCCTCTTTCTTTTCTTTTTTTTTTACCAGAGCTGTAGATGGAAGGAATTGGGAGAACAAATAAGTAACTGAACAAGAAAAACAATTTGTATGACTCAAAAAATGGCATTTCCTGTCTGTAATAAGAGGGCTATTTTTTTATTCTTTGCTCTATCAGCTATGGTTCGTACATTTGCCAGGTTGATGATAAAAATGATACAAAAAGATGTAAACACACATGAAAGCTCTGTCATTCCATTGGGAGCAGTCAATACACTACAATTAGCGACACATTGTAGCTTTTGTATCGCACACATGCACACACACAGACACACACACGAGAACTACACACTTTCGTATCAGACAATCAACCCAATTTTCTAATATTTTGTAAACAATTTGTATCGAGTTTGGTGCCTGACTTTAAAAAGGAATGACGGTAGGGCAGCTGTCCACAAAAAGTGCATGGCAGGGGAATTGAGTGTGACAAATATTTTTTAATATGCCACTTATCAAACAGAATTCTTGGTAACATGATATAATTAGGGAGCCCAGTTCTACCGAAAATGTGGATCCAATTATTCTCAGTATTCGCCCAAACTCTTGTGCTCCTGACAAAACACCTGACTTGAATTAAAATATGTCAACCACTGGCCTGACCCCTCCACTCTTATAAAGCAAAAAGTCATACTGCTCTTAGTGTGAAAGAAGCCTTTACTGCAACTGCAGTTGCCTACAGGTATGACCTTTTCTTGGCTTTTTTTTAACATTGCTTTGCTTTACACTGGAGGAAGAGATGAGCACATCCTTATTGATGAAGAGTAGTATGCAGAAGTTAGCGCGTTAGAGATAAATTTACCTCAATAGTATCACTTAGGCCAGGATGACTTTACATGTATACGCTTGCAGGAGGGAACAAACATGTAGCAAACGCAGCGTATACACTGGTTGTTCAAATACTTCTCTAATCATCTCTAACGTGTTTGCAAGTTAGTATATTCATGGTCTTTGCTCTATCAGACTATCTTTGTCATCGCATCCCAGGATTATGGTTTCCTCATTCTCTGACTCAATCAAACAGGACCTGTGCCCCAATACTCAATCAGCCATTCGTCTAATTTAAACAAGTCAGTGTAAGGCAAATTGTTTCATAAGGCTGTGTAGAAATTGATCATTGCATAGAATTTCCCTTATGGGGGGGCAATCAATTGGAAAATTATTAATATAGTGGACAGAATTGTCGTTTTTTGTTACAATCCTTCGAACTGTCATATTTTCTGTTAAACCCACCATATCAATAATGACAATCCAAATACTGTTGTGCTTCCCTTGTAACCATTTTTACGGTAACAAATATCTGGATGTCGATGGATGAAGCTCAGAACTGTAGCGAATGCAAAGAGTCCCTTTTGGGGCAAAAGTTCATCCTGAAGGCAGGAATCCCATTCTGCATCAAATGCTACGAGACATTGTGTTGCACTAACTGCGTTCATTGGCTGCACAAGCAAGGTAGGGTTGTTCAAACGCACATTTTCAGCTTTTTAGTTTTAACTGAGGTGAACGATTGGTTCTTGGTATTCCAAATTACTTAAAACAGGGCTGTAAAACTCATTTTTGTTGTGGGACACATTTTAGTAGCCGTTTGCCTTGTAGGGCCATTAGGACTGAAACGTTTTTTTTTAAAAGTCAATAATAACAGTTTATTGAAATATTGCTTGTTACTGTAATGAAGGGTTTGGTTACAAGAAAATGCTCACAATATGTCTCTTGCTTATTAGATATAAGAATTTTAAATTTTGGTAGCAATTTTTAGCAAGCACCTTGGAAGTTGACATGTTTGATTTTCTTTTGCGGGCCACATAAAATGATGTGGCAGGCCAGATCTGGCCCCCGGGCCTTGGGTTTGACACCATGCCTAAAGACAAGGTAAAATTAACTGTTGAAAGCATTGCCAATGAAGATATTACTAAAGGCGTTTTCATCTTACCGTTTTTTTCTTAAATATTGGCTCACAATTCATAGCCTGTCACTTACCTGAGCTCACAATAAGCAACTCTACACTCTCATTTGCTGACTCCCACATCACTCACCAGGCTAGACCCCACCTTTTAAAGCCATCGCCTTCTTAAAATGTCACATATATTTTAGCATTTATCGTGAGGATGCCAACCCCAAGTGGAAAACAATAATACCTGCACCTGCTGTGCACGTTTTGTTGTTTAATAATGCAAAACCCCCCCCCCCCCCCCAGATTAGGATGTGTCATTCAAGGACTTCCACTGGCATGGTGAATGTTTCGTCTGCGTCAGATGCAGCCGATCTCTGGTAGATCAAGCTTTTGCCACCGGCAAGGATGACATGCTGACGTGCTTAACATGCTACAGCAAAGAGTTCTCAGCAAAGTGCCACGAATTTCTGAGGTTTAAAGCCAGGTGAGAGGGGCCTTTTTTTTGAGGGGGGGGGGGGGTTCTTTAACTCTCTAACAACCAATATCAAAAAGTTTAGGTTTTATATTTCCAGTTTTAGTAACAATCAGTACAAAAAGAGAACATAACATGGTTAAAAACAGGATACTTTTTTTTTCTTCAAGAAATTCACAGCTCAAAGCTTCGAGGACATGGGATTCACTATTTTTTGTATTCTTTCAGTGCTGTTTTTCTCATGATAATTAGGACAGTGTTTCCTAACCTTGTTTGAGTCAAGGCACATATTTCACATCGGAAAAATTATGTCTTACAGTGGTCAATTGCCAATTTTAATCAGAAATTGCTTTATGTGTCACTAAACGTATTTTTGACGTTGAATTAAAAAAAACTTTACCATGCTTTGTAATTGATTGCTATGACGTTTCAGAAAAAAAATTCCACCAGCGCAAAAAAAAAAAAAAAAAAGTTTGATTTCAAAGTGAAATGTTTATTTGCATCTCTGGTGAAAAAAAAAGTAAAAATGTTTTGACCAGTGTTATTGATCATTAGAGTATTCTACGAAACCTAGGAATTCAAATGTGTGTGTGGGGAGAGGGGGAAATTCAACAAAATGTCTGTTTTAGTATAGAGACACCGTGAAAGACCTGCCACACGTGATCAATATCCAAAGCTATTTGTGTGAACGCCAATTTGACCAGCGCATCATCAAACCCAACAGAACACTTACGACAATAGGCGATCTTTGATGTGTAACGGAAGTGGTTGCTTCAGTGACAAGAATTGCCTTCTGATCAAATTCGCTCTCCTCTTCTCTTAGCAGAATAACGAGCAGCAGACGGTAAATGTTTCCACTGCATCTGCATCACAGCAAATTCTTATCAAGCGATTATGTTATACATTTATTTTTGCGCAAGTACTGACTGACTGCGTCGTTTTTACGCTGACCGGCTAGCCGCTTGGCGGCTAAACGGGTTAGCAAGGCATTGTTACATATAGCACTGTAATAGTGGATTTAAAACATGCTGCAGCTGCTGCTCTTACTATGCTGTGCTTTTGTTAGAATTTGTGAGCGTTCTTGTTCGATTGCAGTTTTCAAGGGGACGTTGGATCATTTCACCCGTCCATATTAAATTAAATGATCCGAACATAATCTCACCAGCATGATGTCATTACACGTTCGTACAGAAGGTTTTATAATGCTGAAAAGATACTTTTTTTTTAAAGTGTTGCTCTCCATCACCAATCACTTGTTTCGCAAGCTTCTTGTATTCATTCATTCATCTATTAAATTAATGATGGAAGTCTTCCTGGTTAGGAGGACGTTTGGTAAACCGCCCATAGGGGGCGCCAGTTGCTCTACCGTTGCGTAATCAAGTCAAATCAAGCTTTATTGTCAAATATTAGCTGTCCTTATATTACATATAAAGAAGCCCCCTTAGATATTAATAAAATATGCCTGATTTCTTCACATTTTTAGTCATAGTTACATGAAATTTATAGGTTTGAACGATAAAATTAAATCAAATTGAAGATCTCGGAATTATTTTAACTCCCATTTTCAACATGTGTACGATAATTATCAAAGCCTAAAATGCCAGATGAGCCGTGTGAACTGAAGCGAAATTCATTTGAAAACAATAAGAAAGTGGTGGATCACTTGAGTATCCCAGTAACCCTGTTGAATTGGCCGCTTTTGGGCCGTGGGCATACGTTTGACACTTCTGTTATACACTTCATCAGTACATGTATTGACTAAATTCATATCATTTTTCACACCCACTTTGGTCTTTAGATTTATTTCACTATGAGTGCTGTTGTACCCAACCATCGAAGGACAAAGCCAGGAGGTAATAATGCAAATAACTCAAAGCTAACATTTATGGTTCAGTTTGGATCGAATAGAAATTGTCACTTCATTGCAGGCATAAAGCCAGGAGCGGCAGCCACCGGTGTGACTGGACCAACGTCTCAGATTCCCGGTCTGTCCCAGACTGCTGCCCAAAGCACCGAAGTCGAGAGGATGAGCGGACGGCGGGTTGGCATCTTTGAATCCGACTCCGACTACGTCAAGCTTGCAAAGCAAGGGGGGCATAAAGGTAATTCTAATTCTGTGACTATAATGTGCTCCTTACTGCGATGGCATGTTTTGAAAAGTGGTTATTTGTGTGCCGTAGGGCTGTTGAGCCATGATGCCGATATGGATGACAAGCCTAAAACAGCCTACAATCCCAACAACTGGTTTTCAGGTGATGAATCCAACAGGTAAATCAAAACAAACATCTCGACACTCCTTGCCACACCACAAAACAAAACAACTAAAGTCCCATTTAATTAGATGGATGGATGGATGGACAGAAAAAGGCAAGCATGCCGAATTACTAATGTTCAAGAATACATACACAAGTCTTTTTTTTTTTTGTTGTCAATATTAAAATTGTATGATCTTGTATGATGCGTGCGTCCCTTGCGTCGCAGTGCAGTGCCCGAGACAAAGATAAAACCCTTTTAACATATTGTTGACCGGCAATTTAAGATGATGGTCTGCACATTCATGACATTTCCAAGCCGCAGAATGTGATGTGCGGCTCATCGTTTGTCACGGTGGTTTTGTATTTACAGCGGCAGCAAAGCAACATCTCCCAACAGCCAGGCGAAGGGCGGCAGGCAGCCTTTGCTTGCACCGTTTGGCACTGATAACAGTTCGTCCTGGGAAAGAGAGACTGATATATTTACTCATGATAAAGATAAGGTGAAGACGTCAAAAGAGTCACCCTGTTTTGTTTTTGTTTTTTTTTCGCATCCCTCGTTCGCCTTCCATGTTTTTTGGAGTAATATGAGTTTGCTTCGTCATCATTGCGTCATAACCGGCTGTGTTTGTCATTTATTTTCATTTGTAGTCAGTCACTTCATCATTCGTGCTCCACCGCTACACTTTTCACCATCATGCATGTCAGTGAAAGGAGTGCAAGATAAGCCGGCTCACCTTTTCATCCTGCAGATGTCTCCCGATGGTACCGCCACTCAGTTGGAGGGGTTGTCTGTGAGCAACAAATACAAGAGAACGTGAGTACATTCCACAACAACATGGACGTAGATGACAGGATGACGGTTCCACTAAAGTTTCACTTTGTGTGTTGTCGACATAGGTCTCACAATAAGCAAATGGCCCCCGTCAGCATGTCCAAGCTGCTGAGCCATGGCTACGTGGAGGACAAAAAGAAGTCGC